TCACATTCCATCCTTGTATGCACTATGTCTTTGTTATGTAATCACTGTCACTCTCATCACCTATGAAGTGTTACAAAAACCTCTGACCTGAATTTAAAGTTAGGAGCATGTGTACATATCTTTACAATGCAGGTTGTGAATGTTCCTATATTTTTACCATTCTGAGAATTATTTGGACAGTCAGTCAGCAAGATGGCTTGCAACTTTACAAAACACTTTGGTTTTTGATCAATCCAGACTTGAAGGCGCCATTCCATTGACACATAAGCACAAAGTTTCAGATCATTCCATTATCATACCAAACAAGGGTAAAGTGCAGTTTTTCAAAATGATACGTGACAGAATACGTGAACAGGTTATTTTGTAGTTTTTTAACCTTTTCACCACCAGTTCCCTCTTCCTGTTACAAAATAGTCCAGTTTGTAGTCTGCACTTTCCTTAAGAAAATTGGGACAAAAATAGGCAAATGTTTTAGGTAAAAACTTAAAATTAACTCGAATTTTGTCTGTTGGCTCCAAAATTAGGGTTTATTAATATATATATACAAGAATATAAGAGAAAATGCAGACAAGATTAATATTTCTTGAATCACATACAATGTAAATACTCAAAAAATGAATGATAGTTATTGAATATGTACACTAGATTAGCAAATCAACATGTTGACAATTCCTATAAAACAGTGAAAATCTTGGTGCCGTCAAGTCTAGAACAATACAAAAGTCTAGTGTTCAGCAAAGCTTCAAGCCGTCTTGCTAACTGACAATAAATTGGCATTTACTATGGTTCTATGCTGTAACCTTGTTATAGCATTTTATATGAGATCAAAATAATGACAAAACAGAATATGCATAAATGCAGTGGTACAAATTCAATGACCAATTGACCATAATTTATCTAATATATACTACAAGTTCATGAAGATATTGCCTGTTTGTTCATTATTAAATTTGAAAAGATGGAACTTTAAAACTCAAAACTAACACAAACAATAATTTGTATTATGACTTCAGAGTTTAAAAATTAGTGTTAGAAGTCTTATAAAAGTCTGTGCATGCAAAAATGTGTATATGAATGGCCGGGACTGAGTCAACACATGCCCGAAAAATGAAACTTCAGATCCCAATATGTTTAGGCCAACTAGGGAATGAGGGCGTAATTTCTTTACGAGCTGAGTAAGTTGTGAATGGGTCTCAATGTGCATCAAAACATCTGGGTTAATCCTTCTACAAACATGTAAGATTAAAAATGTTCTGCACATCCGAGACGTATCATCAACACACTATTGAATATATCAGCAGACACAACACTGACATCAAAACTCTTCACAGTCATCACAAACCCTGTTTGGCCTTCATCTTGTTGGCTACCACAAGGAAAAAAAAGGGAAAGTAAACTTTCATGCAAAAAGCACCTGTTGTGGTGTGTGTTAAAGGGTTTGAATCACATTACCAGATGATACACTTATTTCTTAAAAATTAACTCTGAAATAGAACTATCGGGTATACACATTTTACATGATTTCTCACAAAAGTTAGAAAATGTTTCTTAAGCAGAACCATAACCCTAACACTACACCCCCTCTCCCATGTAAGTTAATAGGGTTAGGATTAGAGTTATGGGTGAGCTCACTAGCGAAAAAAGTTACCCAAAAGTTTGTACCGGTACTGCATGTAAATAGACATAACAGCTTTGGATTGTCAAGGATTCAGCATGACTCAAAGTAACAGTCGAAATCAGACAGAAATGAATTTGTGAATTTGTTTGCATCGTAAGTTTATAAACACCTTTAAATTGTATTTCCATCAGCAAAAAAAGCACTTCATTCAAAACCAAATGCTGATTTTGCGCTTCATGTGTACTCATGAATATTTAAATCATAGCTCTTGGAATGGAGTGGTAACAAAATACTATATGGCAGACATGAATGCTTCTCAGATGCTGTCACATACATACAAAATATTTTCAATCTGCAATGCTCAAATTAGGTCAAGTTTTGCTCAATTTATTTGGGCTAATTTGTATATGTTCATAAACAAGCAGAAATCAATACCTATGATGGACATTGTAATCGATGGTAATTAGCCAAATTACTTTCCAGTATACAAACTACTTAGATGACATAAATAAACACATTTCTTCTCAAATTACAAATACGGAATTGAAAGTTCTAGTAATACTACAGGAATTGTTAGCTCATAAGAGTTATATTTTTGTGAATTTTGCAGCAGTGCAATCTTTTTTAGGAACTTGAAGACTGAGTCACTCCATTGGGATTTTTAAGAAAGCAAGTAACAGTGACTTTTGTTGCAGCAAACATTTTATTTTGGGATTTTTAAGACAGCAAGTCACATTGACTTTTGTAGCAGCAAACATTTTATTTTAGGATTTTTAAGACAGCAAGTCACAGTGAATGATTATGTGAAATTTCACCAATGTCATCAAACAATCAAAACATCAATGGACAGCAGCAAATATAAAAACAGTTTACAGTGATTCTGCTCAAATTACATTCATATTAATACTACAGGAGTTATTTTTGATGACACAGCATACCAGTATCTCACAGAAACTTTGAAATTCTTCAGCAGTACATGATACTCTTATAGTTCAAGTTTATAGCCATTATGAGGTTAACAAATCACCACAGCTGGACATCAAATACTTACCATTATAGGCACTAACTAACTCTACAGTTTATAAATATTGTATTTTGTTTAGAAATTCCTGCCTATGTTTTATGTATATTTACATCTCATCATTCATGGAGGTTCAGTTTTAATTGGAACAAACCATTAGGGATTAGGGTAATTAAGGAGGGATGTGGTGGAAAATTTAAATGCTGTACAAAATATTGATATTTCACTGTATGAAAGGTTCTATGAAATTAATAACAAATAGAGCAAATAAAAGGATGGTGTACCAAAAGTTGTTTCCATAGAAATAATGACTTTGTAGTTTCCCATAGCATTTATAAACCCTTTGGTGGCCATTTTGAATTGGTATGGATTGGTCAAATTTTTTTTTCTGGCCTTTCAAATACTATATCTAGTTAGGGAATAACTTAGCAAGATTTTCTGTGTCAAGAGTTTGTTAGCCTGTGACCCGTAATAATGACATGCCTTTACACAAATAACAGCAAAAACGGGAATCAAAATGGCACTCAAAATGATAGACTAAAACAGTACCAAATATTTGGGTCAACATCCTTCACTAGTGAAATCAAAAGAAAGTGAACAACAGGAAAAACAGCAGTTAAAATAGGAAAATCAGACAATCACATTAGGGGGAAGGCATTACAAATAATGTTGATCCCAGATGGTGAAAGTGTGCTTAATTTGAATATGACTGAAATA